CCCTTAAAAGTGTAATAATATATCTTTGTCTCATTAATTGATATAAAAAATAACGAAAAAAAATAATATTTATCTTATTATCAATGTCACAAAAATAATTTTAATTTGATCATTAATTAAATAAAAATTAATTTTTATTTTTTAAATAATGATTAATATTTAACAAAAGCCTTCTTAAGAGTAGTTAAAAAAAGAAAAATAATTTAAAAATAATTTTTTATAGTATTTTATATAAATTTATGGGTCATTTAAATAAATAATTTTATTTAATTATTTAAAATTTATAATATTAAATATTTTTACTTATTTAATAATATATAAAAATAATAAACAAATTATCCTTGTATCTTAGCCTGTAAGAAAAACCTTAAAAAAAAAACCCCCAATTGGTTTATCCAATCAGAATCCACTACGTTGCCAAAATAATTCATCGTGTCGTTACGTATCAAAAAAAAAAAAGAAAATTCATCATGTCGTTTTACGGGGTAATAACGACTTTGACTCACCCAATACGACAGAGATTTTATTCGATCACGATGTCCACACAAACAACGCCACTTTATCTCGTGGGAAATTGGGGAATGCACGAAAAGGACACCTTGTTTGGCTCTTTCGTTTTTGTTTTGATTTGTTTCTTTTTCTTAATGCCAAGGGAATACCTTGTTTGGTTATTTTTGGATTTTAAAAACAATACTTTATCATATATATTCAATTTTGAACCAGCTTTAGTGATGTAATAATTCGTTCTCCAGGCTTGGAGTTTAATTTGTTTAAGTTGAATAATGATAATTATGATAAAAGTTTGAAATTAAAATTTAAAATTAATAACGTAATATAAATTATATTATTTAAAATATTAAGAAAAAATTTTATTTTATTTAATAATTAATTTTTTTATATTTTCATGACTTACAATATTATATATATTAATTAATTTAATAATTTGACGTGCATTACGTTATTAATTTTTAATTTTTGTCTCAAATTTACATTTTTCTTATTATTATTTGTTTAAGTTGAGAGTCCTACTTAGTACTACCATTAAATTTATTTTGATTATTAAAATGGTTAAATTTGTCATAATTACTCATTATTAAAATAGTTAAAAATAATTAATAATTAATAAAATTAATATTTATCATTTGAAAAATTAAAATTAATTTATAAATAAACATTTTTTAGTACTATAATTAATTATTTAAAAAATTATAATTAAACAAATAAAATTACAATTAAAGTTAGTGTTCTTAACATATTTAATAGTAATAATAACCTCAATCCTACTTCCACCAAGGACTTCGAAAAAATACTCCCTACCCCCAATTCAACTTAAATGTAAGTTTTAGAAGTTGAGGGGGTTGTATATATATATATATATATATTTATTTTGACTTGTACAAGATAATTTTTTTAATTTATTTATTCTACTATCATATTATGTAATTTAAATTCAAATTTTTTTTATTTTTAGCGGAAGAATATCATCACTAAATTACGTTATACTTCTACTACCAAATAACAAATTTTTTTCAAGTATACTTGGTGGTTTATTATTATTTTTTAAATGGGCTGTTAAGTATACTTGGTGTTTAATTGTTATTTTTTTATTTTTTTATTTTTTAAATAAATTTGTAAAGAGTCAAATTCAAACCGTAACCCTGAAAAAAAAATTATTTATAGGTGATCTGAAAGCCACTAAATCGGAAGGCCGGAGTGTAATTATTGTATTTTTATATAGCATAGATATTTATTTAAAATTCCACAATTGGATAATCTTTTTGCTACCAAACGATGCTCAAAGCCGGTCAACCATTGAATCTAGTCACGTGAGGAGTATGAACGAATCCAAATATAATTCGTTATTGATCCCACTTTATCTTTAAAATCTTCAACAATAAGTAAGATACCGTTGATGTATTTCAAATCATAGAGTTTAATATTTTATAATTTAAATTTATATCAGATTATAAAATGTTAATTATTGAATGAAAAAAATATTTTTTTTAATTTAATAGTACCCCATAATTTAGTAGTTTATATACGAAATCATAAAATGCTTTTTTTAATAATGAATTACAGTTTTAATTAAAAAAAGTTTTAGCTTTTTTAATTAAAAAATTTAGGTTCAGTTTTGTTTGGTTATTAAAAATAGCTTATATTTGCTGTTATAAACTGATAATTAATAAAATAATTGATATATATTACTTAATAATTTAAAATTAATATATAAGTGATGTTTCTAAATACAACTGTATAAGTTTTTCTTAACTTAAATAAAACTCTTTAATTAGTCCCTCCCTCAACTATTAGAAGAAGTGGAAATAGGGGTTTGTATTTATCCTCAGTTCCTAATTGAGGATTACAACTATAATTTTCTTAAAATGAGGTCCCCTAGAGTTTTTCTCTTGGCTGTAAAGTCCTTGGCGGGACAGGAACTTGGAAGTTGGAACCGCCTAAAATCCATCTTTCCCACATCGCTACCTTCCGGCCCCCGCTCAAATTTTCCGAGAGAATGAAGTACGGTGGGAAATCCGCAAATTCTGCTACTTTCCCACCTTCCAAACAGCCCCCTCAACTCAACCTTCATCAAGCCTTCAATGACTTGCAGACACACTGTTCTAACCTCTTCACTCACGTCTCTCACCATCTCACCGCTTTCAACCCCAAAGCCCACCTCCGCTCCAGTCTCTGCTCTCTATAAACCCACGCAAAAAACGCTCTTGACGCCAATTTATGACACATTAATTCATGGTCTGCCCCAAAGGCGCTACTTTGTGCTCGTGCTGGGAATAATAGCCACATCGCTAACGTGTTGGCTTATCCATGAAGGCCATTGAGGAGAAATTGGAGGGGTGCCTGTGTTTGCTTTGAGCAATTCTGATGAGGAATTCGTTTTGGTTTCGGGGTTTTCCAATAACAAGTCTCTTGGGTTGTTATTTGTCAACAAGGAGGAAGCCGAGGCCCTTCTTGAGCACAGGAAGGGTATGGATCCTGGTATGGCATTATGGCAAGAGGAAGCTCTAAGGTGGTTGCTGTTGCTCTGAACAAGGTGAACTATTTTCTGTGTTTTTTTAGTTTTTTCAATGGAGAAGAATGGAGAAGGTATATGGTAATGTTAAGTTCCTTTATAACTTAATTGATTGATATTGAGATTGTCTGAGTCAAAGAAGGATTGATGGAGTCTAATGTGGAAGTGGGATTTTGCAGGTTATCCAGTTAGAGTCTGATGGCGTGGCATTTAGGTTGATACCAGAGTCGAGTCAGGTCAAGAATGCTATTAAGGTGAGCGAAATCTGAGAATGAACAATTTATAGATAGGAGTTTTCTGATTGTAATGCTTGTTCAGCTTGCTATTTTGGGAGTTTAAAGGTTCTCTTTATTGCTTGAATTTAAGATAGTTTGGATTTTTAGATTCAGCTTTTAACTCCAAAAGATTGCCTACAATAGAAATATTACAACTTGAAGAGGACCTTTTGCCCCTGGCTCTGACCTAGTTAAGTATTTCAGGAAAAGTTTCATTATAACAGCTAACTATAGGCTATAGCCCTGTGTTACTAGTAGATTGTGCAAATATCGATATCACTCATACAAAGGAAGACTGTTGTACATTAGGCTGCTGTAATCTTCGTAGTTCATGGAATAACCTTCATGTATACTAACAAGTTTGATGAAATGGCTTGCTGTGAGTCATGTTCTAACGTGGGGATTTATGTCATGGAATGCAAAGGCAAGAATTTTGGAACACATTGACTAGAGACATGAGGATTTCAATATAGCATGGTCAGATTTTAGAGTTGTACTCTTTTTAACATCCATTTGAATTCTTAGGTTTGATAGAACATTTAGTGTAAAGTTTATAATTTTGCAAATGAGTTGATTTTGTTTTATTTCATTGTGGTTGGAACTAATTTGTAGAATCAAGAGTTAAACTTTGGAATTAGGTTTTTTCCTTTTACATTTCAGTTGTTCAATCAAATAGCTATGGGATTTGATTAGTAAATTTTATGTTTTTTTTTTCTTTGCCTTTTCATTCTAATAATTTTGACAGTGATATTGAATGGTACCTCAGATAATCACACATGTAACAATGTTGTCTCCTCTCATGTCTTGTCCTAATAATCTGTCTTTTTACATTTTCATTTTCCTCTTTCTTCTTCACCACATTATTTATGTTGTGATTTTTAGTGACTTTATAAATATAGTTTAGTTATGTTTGAACATTTACATCTCAATGTCATAATTATGTCAAATTGGTGTTGCATAAGCTTGTGTTGTTTCTAGTTTTGGAGAAAATTGACTCTATTAAATGGGAAGATGAGGTGGTAGGAGCATTACTTTTCTGCACTAAATGTTCCTTAGTGTTCATGCTGTTGTTCCTTGAGGTGGCAATCATACTTTGCACTCAGCATTTTTGAGTTTCTAAGATTTTAAAGTAATCGACATTAATGTACTTACAATTTTGTGTCACCCTTATAGTTGAGGATGACTGATAAATACCCATAAATAGCCACTTAAATTGCAACTGCCTTTTATTAGATTTCAATTAATTTTTGTTAGGAAAACCATATATCTTTTCTTCTTGAAATGTTATGTTGTAAACTGAATGGACCACATTTATGGAAGCCAAAATTTTAATTTTTAATAGTATCAAGCTTTCCATTTCTCAATACAGGAGAGGAAGCCATGGAAGTGAAGTAGATAATAATTGAATATTACAATATTCATTAGAAGTAAATATGCTGATATTCAACATCATATCAGAGGTTTTGAACTGTGCTAAAAAGGGGAAACTGACGTGTTATTTAACAACAAAATCCTTGACGTATGTGGGATGATTGAAAATATTTCAATGTTGATTAGACTGAGACCTTTTATATCAACTAACAAACTCAAAATATGAATGATCTAATCTATGAATCGTTCCAGTAACATTTCAGATTAGAAGTTCGTTTAGAGTAACCAGTATTTCTGTGATATTTTGAACAATTTCCTTTGCAGCATTGGTAATGGTGATAAAGTTTGCGTGTATGCTCATTTTAAAGATGTACATATTATTTTCTTAATTGCAAATGTTATTTCCATTCAAAATAGAATAAAGGAAAAAAATTCCTCACTTCCTCACCCCCCTCATTTCTTTTTTCCTTTTCTTCTTCTTTTCTTTCTTAATTTATGGATAACATGTGTATTCGGACTTTTGGCCCAACTAATCCCATGGGTACCTCCGTACCTGCTAAGTACCTTGTCAACAGGTCCTTGGTGAGGCTCCACATTCAATGGTGGTGGTTGTGGCCCATTGTAATTGTTTGCACTCAAATGATGTTGGAGGATTCAAACTTGTGTTTTCAATATGGTTTACATCACACCTTACCACTTGATCATAACCTAGTGAGTTGAAACTCAAACTAAGAATCATATCACTAGACTAAATGCTTCCTTCACCTCCTCCTCTTGCATATCAGCATTGCCATTCAAGCTCATCTAGCTATCATACTCTTTTATGCAAGGAGATTTCTAATCTTTACATTCACTGCTTGTTTACCTATAATTTTAGTTATAGGAGTCTTTATACCTGAAAATGATTCTTTTTTCTTCTTGCAGCTGAAAGAAAAAATCCATACATCTTTTCTTCATGGGACTCCTGTTTTCCAGGTTCATCTTTTATAACTTCTAGCTTTATAATTCGTATGCATGGTATGTCTAGTACATTCTTATATGTTTTCATTGGGAGGGAAAATAATATTAGAGACACATTTAAATGATAGGTAGGAATTCATTATCTGTTTCTAAATAAAATCTAGTTTGCCTGAAATTCAGTTCCCTTTAGGCAAAATTGCTTGTATTTTAGTTTCTACTTTGTCCCTGCACATCCACATTTTCTAGATGATCTTGGATGGCTTCTATCTAGGATACTGTTTCAAACTGTTGAAATGATTGTATTTCAGTCCAAGAGCTTGATACTGAGAAGTGGAAACAAAAGCTATCAACCATTTTTCTTTAGAAAGGTTAGTTAAAAGATATTTTTCTTATCTCTGTGCTCTTTTTGTTTGTCTCTTGTTTACTCCTAAAATCTACTTTATCTTTGAAATTTACGAGGATTTAGAGAAAACTAGAGAAGGCTTCTCGCCAGAAGCACCAGTTAAATCCTTCCTTCAGAAAACATGATGATAATGAGGTGTCATTGACGTTTTTATTTGTATTTGTATTTTTATTTTTTATTTTACTTTTGTTTTTTTTAAAGGCAAGTTTTTGTTTGTGGTACTTTTTAGAGAATAACTTTTCCTTGCTCTTCATTTTTCTCTATCTTTCTGAAAATTTTGCAGGCTGGTATTTTTGTGAAATTGTTGAGGAGATGAAGGTAAGGAGCCTTGTGTAAGGTTGGAAAGTTGTATTGATAATTTTGGTCACTGTAGAAGATGTTGCATTAAAATAAAATTATTTTAAATTGTAAAACTGAAACCGCAACTGCAATTAAACTTTGCAGGATTGTGATACTTCAACATGGGATAATGTTGTATTCAACTATTCATTCCTCCTGGTTATGATGCTTTGCCTTCAACTGATCCAAGCTGGCTATCAGAAACTGCATGAATAGGTGTTTTTTTTTTAGCAGTCAGGGTGTTCCTCTTTCTTCTAGTCAAAGGTAAACCGTTCATGTCAAGATTAGGGAATTCATAAAAAATTATCTCTTCATTGAGCTCTTCAAGAAATTGAACCTTGGTCAACCAGTTAATGAGCAAATTCTCTTACCAACTAAATCACAATTTCTTCGGTTAATAAGTGATAATTATGGTAATTATAGAATTATATTAGTATTAAGTTTAGTAAGAAGACCAAGAAATAGAATGACTCAGACTTACTAACTTTTTTGAAGAATTTTGGAACCTGACATGGGCTTAATCTATTTAATTAAGCTTTGCCTATTCAGCTTGTCAATTAGTATTATATAACTATGATAAAAGTGGGAAAGAAAAACAGATTCTTTGAAAGATGAAACGTATATTATACTCTATAGTACTTTTTCTTTGGTCCCAAAGATGCACAGTTTGGTTTTAGTAAGAGCATGATGATTAGTAATGATGATATAGAAACTAAGATATTGTTATGTTGAAAACAGAGTGCAACATGAAGCGTCCAATGTGACGGTCCAGCAATTAAGAAATTAGTGAATCTCAGAGGGAAACAATAATGCAAGGCGAGGCCCCATCCACCGGCACCGCCATGCCTGCACTTGCTTCTTTCTGTACTAAAATTATATCTATTTGTATCCATGCACTTCAACTTCACCAACTCCTTGCCCCTACGACTCACACTCATTCTAAATTTCCTCGTGGGAATCTCCGTTAATATATTAATGTCTGCGCCCTTAGATTAGATCAGGGAAAATATTATATTTATAGTGTCAAAAAAAATTTATAATTTATAATTATAATATGTTATTAAATAGTATGAATGCA